GTCGAGACGGACGAGGCTCAGGCCTACGCCGATGAGAATGGATTGCTTTTCATGGAGACGTCGGCGAAGACAGCTATGAATGTAAACGACATATTTCTGGCGATCGCCAAAAAGTTACCCAAAACCGATCAAAGCGCCGGCAGTGGCGGCTCAGGTCAAGGCCGCAGAGGTGTAGACTTGAGTGAAAACCCGCAACAATCGGGCGGTTGTTGTGGAAAATGAGATATTATTTAATTAACGTATCGATTATTAATTTGATATAATATTTGAAATATATATAAATATTATATATAAAAAACAAAACATAAAAAACAGTTTATTTTAAATCAATTCTTTATTTCTCCCGAAAAACTATAAACGAAACAACAAAACAAAATCCAATTTCATCTCAAGTCTTTGAAATAGCTTTGAAATAATATATTTTGTAAATAATTTTAAAACAAATGATTAATTGATTTGTGTTTTATATATAATTAATAATGATTTACACTGATTAATGAAAATGACACCACATTTTAGTTTTAAATATATATAATATAAGATATGTATAACTTTTGCGTACGATTTCTTGTGCTTATTGTTCGCAGAGTTGTTCATCAAAAATAACAACCGATTCAATGAGATGTCAATTATAATAGCGTTGAACTGATTTTTTGCACTAAAGCGACGATTAAGTGAATAATAATAATAATAAGTTATATTAATGTATATTATATTAATTACATTTACTATTAATTGTAATTTCTGTGCTATTGTTTACCACCGGTTAATAGAGACCATCCTTTTTAATCATTACTCTCTTCTCTATCTCTCTCTTACTTTCTATTACTGTTTATTGTATTTTCAAATATTTGTACTGAATATTGATTTTAAACATAATTTGTGAAAATAATGATTACAAAAAACAAAATGTAAGTTAATTTATCGAAGATTATATAATACAATAGTTTTAGAAACAAAAAAGTTGATTAGTTTTGTTTGTTTTCTCTTTAAAAATGCTTTAAATAATTGATTGATTTGATGGCAAAAGTTGTACGAATTTTGTAAGAAATGTTTTGTTTAAATTGCAATTTATTTTATAACTGTTTATAATAATTATATTGAAAATTGTGATTGTTTTACCCCTCACTCTCTCCCCCGCTCTCTGTCTCTTCATTCCTCGCAATTATCGCTAAGATTGCAAAAAAAACAATTGTTTAGTTCAATAGACAATACAATTATTATAATTACTTAAAACAATAATTTAAAATAGATTCTTATTTTTTATTCAAATAAAATCTTGTTTTTATTTATTTATTTTCTAAACGTAAACATAGTTTGAAACTAAATAATTGACAAAAAAGTTTAGTCTAAATGCTTTACAAAAAATTTAAACAGATTTTAAACATTTATGGTATAAATTTGAATAAAAAACAAATTGTGCTCAAAAAGTTACTATCATATTCCAGAAAGTTTCCTAGATCAATTTAATAAATTAATAATAATCAATATAATTAAATAAACCCTCGATTTTATGATAAAATACTTGAGAATATTTGTTTTCTACTATTTATGTGTAAATATGAGAATCGAAACAACATTTGAGATTCAATTTTAATTAACGCATAATATTTTGACACAGAATCAGATTTAAAGTTCATTTTTGCGATCATTTTGTACAGAATTTGTGGTAAAACTTAACAAAATATTCAATTTTCCTTTAATTTCTTTGCGTTTAATATCAGTTAACTTTTGGGAAACTATTCCCTCGAGTCTTGAGGTCTCGGTGGCGATGAATTGATCCCCTTTTTCGATCACTTTAGTCATGAATTGTATGTAAATGTCGGCCCATTTCTTGCGCTCGCCATCACTCAATTCATTCATCAGTCGTTGCGCCGCATCCAAGACATCACGTCTTTGCCGATCACTCGCCTTCTCAGCCATAAAACGTTGGGCCAAATCATCGAACTCTTCTAAACACATCTCTAATGGTATTCTTATACCGGAATGTCTTCGTATGAATCGTATGATTGGATCCGATTTGAACTCGTCGTCGTAATGGACGGCTTCGTCGGTCACGCCGTTTACGAACAGTTTAATCACCGGTAAGTCATCTCTGGTTATGGAGTACTTTGCGGCCAAATCCATGCCCTCCTTATCGCCGAACTCATGGACACCGACTTCGGCTATCAGTAAATTGGGGGCCGTTTTGGCCAATTGTGACACTTTCTCAAACTCTTGGTGTTTCTCTCCGTATGGATACTGAATGTCAAACTTCACTAACGATGCCTTGAATTTGGTCACAACCTGTTGTCACAAACAAATCAATTAACAATTAATGGATAAAACTCTTTGGCAAACCTTATCAAAAGTGAGTGAATCCAAAACAACTGATCCGCTTAACGCCCGCGAAGGCGATGCCATGAGTGACACTACGGCCAACACCAGTGACCAACAAATTGGTGACAATTGTCTCATTTCAACCGAAGCCTATGTTTTGGCCATTTTATACACTTTATGGACAAATCACTGAAACTCAAGTGACAAATAAAAAAGTTGTCAAAACTTGAAAACAAACTCACATTCAGTGAGAGAGGGAGGAGTGGATGTGTTGTGGATGTGGTGTACAGATGGCTGTATCGTATGTGGAGTACATGTATGGCATGTATGGGTAGTGCTGTTCAGTACTACTGCTCTGTTTGTATGACTGTATGATTGACTGACTGTTGGATCAAAAATGGATGTCTAGTAATGACAATACAAACGACACTCGAAGTGATTATCATTGCATTTCCCGAACCACTCATCCGTTGACCACTTTATACCATTCAAACACACTATCATTGACTCTATGCCCGAGTGCTGACCGCAAACACACCCATCGGTCACAAACACCACTCCCGATGACTGTTTACTATACTCGTGCGGATCAACGCCACAACTGATCCGTGTCTTTGATTTGGTGTCTCATTTTGTGGCCACAAATGCATGGCTTAAGTGTCTGTCTTTCGCACCAAACATATTGACCCCAAAAACTAAATCCAAAACAAAAACGATTCATACGATTAACGATTGGTTTTTGAAATGATAGACAACTCTTGCAATCAAGAAAATCATGAATTTGTGAGTATTTTTAGTTTTAATTTAATTTCATTTGAAAAGCCATTTAATGTGTTTTTTTTGTCGCCCAAAGAAATATCATATGATTTGTTATTTTAATTTCTTGTGTTATTTATAATCACAATCGCTATTGAATTGGTATTTATTAAAAGTAATAGCAAATGGTTTTTCCCCTAAAATGTAAATATCGTAACAATTTATTCATTCATTTCGCAAATGATTACTTTTCC